CTTGCTGTGAGGGAGCCAAGTCAGGGTAGGTGTGGAACAGCCTGGTAGCCCACGCAGCAAGCTTAGGTCCTCATTTGCAGGAGCGGAGGAATACGCCGACTTCCTGCAGGAGGCACAGGTACCCTTCATCTCCCAGGAGCGTTGCTCCAACTCTGACGTGCATGGGGACGCCATCCTGCCCGGAATGCTTTGTGCTGGCTTCCTGGAGGGAGGCACAGATGCCTGCCAGGTCAGCCCTGGGGTCCTGGTTGGTACTTTACCCCTACCTGTCCACCACAGAACAAGAGCGATGAGCTGCTTGTCCCCCACCCAGGGTGACTCTGGGGGTCCCCTAGTATGTGAAGAAGGGGCTGAGGAACAACGGCTCACCCTGCGAGGTGTCATCAGCTGGGGCTCCGGCTGTGGTGACCGCAACAAGCCCGGAGTCTACACGGACGTAGCTTACTACCTGGCTTGGATCCAGGAGCACACCGTTTCCTAACTAAGCAGGGTCAGTCCTTCCCGTTTGTGTGCCCCTGGAGTGTGAGGGTTGACTATGGCATGACGGACACAGTAGAGATAGTGCCCAGGTAGCATGCGCACAGAAATTCAATAAAGTGTTTTGAAAATGTTCCCCAGAATTCCCTCTTGAAACGCCAAGAGAGAAAAAAGGTACACCCTTTCCCTCACTGCCTGGGCAAGATCTCTTGTCCAGGTCACCATGCTTCCTTGGCCTCACTTTGAGCCAATTCTGTTTACACAGTAGCAGGTTCTCAGCCTGGACTATACTTCTGGGTCACCTGGGGGAGATTCTGGAATCAGCGTTCAAGCCCACCTGAGATCAGTTCACTGGACCCTCTAGGCAGTAACGATATGTTTGAAAACTGCAGGTGATTCCACATGCAGTCAAAGCTGGAAAGCATCATTAGGAGTGTTCCAGATTGGGCTTGAGGTGTGGGTAGCGGTGGCTGAGCATGTGTGATGTCCTGTCTTAGATTCCAGCACCACCATTTAAAAAAAAAAGGGTGTTTTGGGGTTTGTTTGTTTTAGTTTTTGAACTTTGAGCTTGGCATGGTGGTGCGAGCTGGTGGCAAGGGACGTCTGAGGCAACATTCCATGCTAAAGTGAGAGTCGGGGTGGGAGCCAGCAATCCATAAGCCCTTGGGGACTCTGTGACTCTTCGGGTGTGGTTAGAGGGTTCCCTTATATGATAGGTCTGGCTGTCCAGACTAGCACCTTTCTTGCTCTTAATGATGTCGTTTATTTGCTGGTTTATGGAGACACGTCTTCCCAGTGCTGAGATGGCAGGCCTGCACCATCTCACCTGGTTTGTGTGGTGCTGGGGGGGGTGTGTGTGTCAATCCCAACACTTGGTGCATCAGCAGCAGGCACTCTGTCCACGTCACTCACCTGACTGAGCTACAGTCCTAGTCCTTACACCCATCTCTTTTATATGGGGCCTGTTTCCCCCTTCATTTTTGGATATAGTATCTTACTATGTAGCTCTTGGCTAGCCTGGGACTTGCTATGTAGAGAAGGCCAGCCTTGAACTTAAAGAGATCCACTTGCCTCTGCCTTCTGAGTTCTGGGATTAAGTGTGTGCCACTATGTCTGACTTTTTATTTATTTATTTATTTATTTTAAATATTTATTTATTATGTATACAGTATCTGTCTGTGTGTCTGCCTGCAGGCCAGAAGAGGGCACCAGACCTCATTTCAGATGGTTGTGAGCCACCATGTGGTTGCTGGGAATTGAACTCAGGACCTTTGGAAGAGCAGGCAATGCTCTTAACCGCTGAGCCATCTCACCAGCCCCTATGTCTGGTTTTTTAAAATTAAGAAAAAATTGTGGTTTGTGTGTGTACAATGTGTTTGAGTGTGTTACAGTGCTGTGTGGAGTCAGGGGACAACTCTGTGGAGTCTGTGCTCTCCTTCTGCCTTTGTGTGGGTTCCAGGGATGAAGCTTAAGCCACCAGGCTTACAGGGCAAAGCACCCTTATCTTCTGAGCCATTTATTTTGAAAGTTAAAGAAGTTATAATTTCAAGATGTGTGTGGTTTTCTGAGACAAGGTTTCTCTGTGTTGCCCTGATTGTCCTACAACTGGCCTTGTAGACCAGGCTGGCCTCAAACTCACAAAGAATCACCTGCCTCTACCTCCTGAGTGTTGGGATCAGCTAATTTTAAGATTTTTAGTTAATGTGTTTGAGTGGTTCTGTGGCTATGAGTGCAGGTGCGCAAGGAGAGCAGAAGGGGGCAGCAGTGAGCTGCTTTACCTCGGTGCTGTGACTTGAACACTGGTCTTGTGAAAAACAGTTCTAGTTGAGCGGTGGTGGCGGCGCAGGTCTCTAATCCTAGCACTCAGGGGGAATAAAAGACAAACAGATCCTGTTCTTCCACCAATCCTTTACTCTTTGTTAGTTTTTTTTTTTTCGAGACAGGGTTTCTTTGTGTAGTCCTAGCCGTCCTGGAACTTGCTTTGTAGACCATCGTCACTTTAAACTCAGAGATTCGTCTGCCTCAGCCTGGGATTACAGATGGGCACCACCGCGCCCACCTTTTTTTTTTTTTTAAGCTTAATTTGTGTCTGTGTATGTCAACAGAAAAGCAGTAAGTGCTCTTAACGCCACCTCTCCAGTCCCTCACCCACCTTCCCTTTCCTCCTACACGCTCCTTTTAGAACTGCCCCCTCAACTCCACCGCCCTCACATTCTCCACCTAAAGAGATGTTCTGTGACGTTTGCCCCCACGTCACAGCCCCGCCCTGCGAACTTCACCGAGTAGAGCCGGTGTTCTTAGCTCTCGGTGCTGCGTGTTAACCCCTCTAGCGCAAGAGCAAGGAATAGGGGCGAACTCTGAGCAGAGATGGGTGACTGGAAGGGCTACATCAGTGCAGTGCTGCGGGACCAGCGCATCGACGATGTAGCCATCGTGGGCCACTCGGACAATCGCTGTGTGTGGGCATCACGACCCGGGGGTCTGCTGGCGGCCATCTCCCCGCAGGAGGTGGGTGTGCTCACCGGGCCAGACCGGCACACCTTTCTGCAGACCGGTCTGAGCGTGGCAGGCCGCCGCTGCTGCGTTATCCGTGACTTCCTACTGGCTGACGGCGACGGTGTACTGGATGCACGCACCAAGGGGCTGGATGGGCGTGCAATTTGCGTGGGCCACACTCCACGGGCACTCCTGGTGCTGATGGGCAGACGAGGCGTGCATGGAGGCATCCTTAACAAGACAGTGCACGACCTGATTGGTGGGCTGCGGGAGCAGTGCTCCTAAGTGGGACCGCCAGGCCACCACCCATGGTGGTCGTGGGACCAGAATAAACCTTGAACGGAGAGCTGCGGGTTTATCCTCTTGGTGCATGTGCGAGGACGTGCAAACAAGGAAACTAGTTTATGGGGCGATTCTTGCAGAGCAAAATAATCCTGGTGGGCTTCCAGGCCTCCTGTGCCCTGTCCATTCCTCTTGTGCTAGATGCCTTTGGTCTGGGTGTTATGGTGCTTCCCCAGGTCCCTAGACATGCCACAGCTGAGAAAGCATACTGGGGTAGCAGGCTCTCAAATTTTATCTCAGGCTTTAGTAGCATTTTCTCTTGGAATTTTCCACATATGTAGGCATAAAAATGAATGAGATCATTCCCACCCACCTCCCTCCCTAGCACACACCAGCAGCCAAGGTCTGTGGGGTTTCAGGATGGAGTTGAGTGACCCTCAGTATATTGGAGATTGGCCCCAGGATACCAGTGGATACTCAAATCTTCAAATGCTCAAGTCTCTTGTATAAAATGACAGTGTTGCAAAGAATCTACCTATAGCCCCTGGTGTGTGATCTCCAGGTGACTTATATATCTAATATACTGTAAAAACCATGTAAGTAGTTATTACTGTGCTGATTGGGTAAGGAATACTGAGTTTTAAAAACGCCCATGTACGATCAGTAAAGATGGAACTTTAAACATTTCTCTCTCAACAGTTGGCAGAATTGGCAGAGGTAAAGCCCAGGTATACGAGGGCTAGCTGTATTTCTGCCACTTGCTTGACGCAAGTATGGTGACTAGGTGACAGGATGTAGCTGACTATTCTCAGAGCAGCTCTAGGGTCCCCAGGCGTCTGCATCCCACCACACACAGAGACCTCCGAGGTGTGTCCACTGCAGGCACAGGTGTGATCATTGTCACTGGGCCTGACTCTCAGTCTTCCTTGTCTTCTAAGGTCCAAAGCCCCCAATAGAAATCCTTAGCCTACAGGGAAGAAATGTGGTACCCTCACCCACTGACCCCCACTCTGCAAGCCTCACTCGAGGGCCCTGCGTGGCAACCTCCCTGTTGACCCCCACTCTGCAAGCCTTAGCTCCAGGATGCTGCGTGGAAGAGGCAGGACTGCAAAGCTCAGGTCTGTTTAAGAGCTGCCTGGCTTATTCTCCAAAGGCATAGGACAGAGGTGGAGGGAGGATCTGTCCTCTGCCCTCTGTGGCCAGGGCCAGACCTCTCTCTCACAGTTATCATCCTGCCCCATTTTCCATTGGTCCCAGCAAGCCTCCGCTGGCCAATCACTCTGGAGGACTAATCTTAGGGAGAATAAATGTGGGCTGGAGGTGGGTGGGTTTACAGGACAAGGGATACCAAGATGTTGAGGTGCAGATTCACCTCTGGGGTGGCTCCAGACTGTAGGGAGGGACTTGCAGGAGCTTTAATTATGGGTGAGGCTCAGGGAGGCAGGGCCAGTCAGACTCTAAGTGTGCAGGATCGAAGGCTCTTGGTCCAGTGAGTGTTTGAAGGAGGATGGTGCTGCCGACCTCCGTCTTGATCCTTCTCTTTGCTCATAGATGCAAAGCAAAAGTAGTCCCAATGATGGAAGTTTAATTCCTTTCTGGTTTTCTAAAAAGGGATCATAGCGGTGGTGCCTTGGTGAGGGTGAGGAAAATGAGACGGGGGGTGGGAGGGGAGGGGGCAGAGAGGGAGGAGAATCCAGCCAGTGATTCTGACTTGCACCTGAGCACAAGTGAACAGCCATATCATCACCGATCCAAAGCCACCTTTACTCGTAGTCATCTGTATACACAAGGACACAAGCTCGGGTCTTGTATCTACAAACAGCCAGACTTATGGCGAGCTAGCCTGCACCTTGTATACAGCCTCCTGTGCATATACACACACACCTATTGTGTAGGCTTGTCTGTACACATACATGGGTTGACACACAATGTTCACAAGTGGACTATACCTATCCTGATGGCCACACAGACGCACCATCTAACACATGTACCTGTGCACACTGCCTCTTAATCACAAAAGCCCACATCACTATGACCCTGCATCTGGACGGGTACCCAAGGGTAGCACAAAATCATGAACCTCAACCAATGTGCATCTACACACATGTGCACGCACACCCCTCTGCCCTTCTGCTGAGGGCTTCATAAACACTCTGCTTCCTGCTCCAGGCAATGGTCTGGGCCCACATCCTAGAGACGGGTGGCATTGTGGTGAGCGGGCAGTGCGAGGCGGGGGGAAGGTGTGGCAGGGGGAAGCTCCTCCAGAAAGACTCTAGGGGGAAGTTGGGGTGAACGGGGCTCAGGCCTGGCATAGCACAAGGTGACTCGTGTGATCAGGCCATCCAGGGGCTGCAAAGAGTGCATCCAGCGGGGCAGGAAGTCCCACGTCTGCAGCCACTTGGGTAGGTGCCCAGGACTTCGGTTCTGCAGGACATTAACGAGCACCACAAAGGCCAGCAGGGCCCCAAAGGGTGCTCCCACACCCACCATAGCCTGCCAGCCTGCCATGGAGATGCCAAACACCAGTGAGGGCAGAAGCAGGAAGCACACGAGGAGGTAGAGGACGGCAAACCAGCGGTACTTGGCGGTGCGTTTGCCCAGTGCCTTGGCCATGCGGATGGGCAGGCGTGTGCAGGGCAGTGGGTACCACAGCAAGATGCCCGAGATGTTGAAGAAGAAGTGACAGAGGGCGATCTGCAGAGGAGAATGTAGAGGGGTGGAGGTAATAATGCATTCCCACGGGAGCCTAGCAGGGCTGTAACAGAGGCCCCACATGCTCAGGGCAGCAGGAGGAACTCTGGAGCTGATGTGAATTCAGATCTCCTGATTGGCTATTAAAATATTGTGTTGCTGGACTTCTTAGTAAATGACAACTGCCCTGAGCACTCCCCCTGTGTCCCAGTGACCGCCCTCTCGTGAGATCCTCAGCTACAGCCCAGCAGCTGACAGGCCTGCCCGTCTGACACGGGGTCTCACTATATAGACCAGGCAGACCTTGAGTTTTCCGTCGTTTTTTTTCTTCCAAGTGCTGGGATTATAGGCATCTGCTACCACACCTGGCTTTAGCATTAGATTAGTTCCTGGCTTGCCTATTCCGGGCTTTTAATTGGTCAGCATCTTGTCAGCTGTTTTGCTTCTAGATCAATCCCTTTGCCATCTGCTTACCATCCCCAATTCAATGCGTCGTTGACTCACCCAGATTGGGCCTGGCCTCTCTGACAGCAGCACACGGCCACACTGTGACCCTGACTTGCTGTCTACGGATACAGCACAGCAGTGGCTCCCTATTGGACACTGAGGTCTTGAGAGTGGAATTAAGTCGGCTTTGTCCATAGCGGTTTCCAATGAGAGGAGCGGGTCACGTTATCAAGTGACTGATGTTGGTTATACATCGTCACATCCTCCACTGGGCCTGCACCCCGGTCCTCTGTCTCTACAGACAGCCCACTCTCCCCCACGTACCTGAAAGGAACTGGATAGCTTCTCCTTGGGGCTGGCCAGTGCTGCCAGGATGGCTGTTGTGGTAGTGCCAATGTTGGAACCCAGGGTGAGAGGGTAGGCGCGCTCAATACTGATCACACCCAGGCCTGGTGGGCAGGAGAGAGTGTGGCATTTCTTTCTAACTCTTCCTGAGTCACACACGCAACCCACACCACTACTGCCCATTGCCAGGCATGAGCAACTCACCGATGAGTGGGGTGATGGCTGAGGTGAATACAGAACTGCTCTGGACAACAAAGGTCATGCTGGCACCCACAATCATGGCAAAGTAGCCCGTGACCCAGGTGAATGGGGCGGGAAAGTCTGAAGGGAACACAAATCCGCAGTAATTCATGTCAGTGAGAGGCCTTGGGAGAGCAGGCACTCCTTGATCTTCAAGGAGGTCCTTAGGTAGTTGTTGCCCCTGAGAATCTAGCTGGTCCCCTGCTCCTTTCTTTTGCCCAGCGTACTCTTGTGATTAACACACTCTCTGACTTGGGCTATTATACTCTTTTGTGTCTTTGCCCTAGCTATTCTCTCTGCCCATAATACTCTAATATTTAAATCCATGGGGTTTAGGTCAAGGATACCCATGAACACCAACATCTAAGTGTGCTTCTGTGACATAGTGAGGCATTTGTCTGGGGCCAGTGTTCATGCTGCTCCGTGCTTTAAATCACATCTAGTTGATTTATCATACCTAATATAAGTAAAGGCCGTGATTGCTGAGGGGGCTGAGTGGAGAAAGGCTCTTGCTGCTAAGCCTCATGACCTGAGTTCAGTCCTTGGGATCTACATAGTAGAAGAAGCAAACCAATCATGCACCTGACTTTCACATGTGCACACACCCAAGCCCACACTATTGTGATTGTTTAATATATATATATATATATATATATATATATATATATATATATATATATATATATGATGTTGCACACTTTTAATTTCAGTACTCAAAAGGCAGAGGGGGGTGGATTTCTATGTAGCCTGGTCTACATAGTGAGTTCCACACCAGCCAGGGCTGCATTGTGAGACTTTGTCGCAAAAAGAACATTGTAAAAGCGTACATATTTGTTATGTTGTATTGTTCAAGAGAATTCAAGACAGATGCAATTATTTTCCTGAAATGTTTTTGATCCACGACTGATTGAATCTACAGATCAGGGTCCCACAGATAGAGAGTGCCAACTGTACTCCCCCTACCCCGGAGCCACCTTGCTAGAAAGCCCTTCCTGGCCTCCCTTGTTTTTCCTACTCCCGAGACACTTGCTCATCCTGTATCCCCATGTTTGTCACGTGGGGGTCCCCAGTGTCAGTGAAATAACTCAAAAGCCCAAAGCATAGCTTAAAACAGAAATCACGGGATGTCATTTCTCTTCCCCAAACTGTGCAAATGCGCCATCACCCTCAGTGAAACACAGGCTCTGAGCAGAGTCGAGGGCCCCCTTAGAACTGGCTGTATCTCTGTCAGCACTAGCCTCATCCTGCCCCGCCCAAGATGCTGCCAGCCATCCCTCCCTATCCCAGACCTGCTACGACTGCTGCCATCTCCAGGCTTTGAACTTGCTGGTCCTCCCACTCAGAATGCCCTTCTTCTACCTAGGCTTCTCTCTTTATCAGTGTTGGGGATGGACCCCTGAACCTCAACTATGGGGGGCAAATGCTTCATCATCGAGCAACACTCCTATTCTTCCTTTACCACTTGTTTTATGTGGAGATTTCAGGGAGGAGGGGTAGCAGTAAGCTAAAGCTTCACTCAATAGCCCAGGACATCATCAAACTCTCATCGATCCTCCTACCTCAGTCTTCAAAGTGCAGAGGTTACAGTTATGAGCCATCACATCTGGGTTTTATCCACATTTATTTTGTTTCTCTGTGTGTGGAAGCCAGAGGTCAATTTGGGATGTCTTTATCTCTCTCTGTCTTATTTTAGCAATTTTAGAGGATGACGTCCCCTCTCCCAGCAAAGTTTGCCCTCAGACTTAGGGACATCATTTAGGGGTTGATTATAATTGGTATACAGTTGAGGGATAGGGAGGAATTTTATAAGCTCAGGGATCTTTTTGGGAAAAAAAAAGAAAAAAAAGAGGGATAATTGGATGATGGGATAATAGATTGGTATTTGTGAGTTATTGTTTTTAGACAATTATATTGGTATCGACTCTTGTATATTGATACAAAGTTAAATTATATTGAATATCATATGCATGTGTGCTTCTACCTCTGTTTAATACATTGTTTATGTATTGATACATATATTTACCATATTGCACTGTACATTACTACCTCTGATCAAGATACATTTGAAGGTCATTGTCCTCATTTATTGCACAGTTGTTTATTGTCTTAGTCTTTAAGTTAGATAGGTATTGAGAATTATAGATCAATAGTCACCTATGTTTGTCATATTTATAATTAGGCTAATCAGGTTCTTTAGATACATAGAAATTATATTCAGTATAGATAGCATAATCTTCAACCTCTTCAAAGAGCTGTAGAAAATGGCCTTTAATTTAACTCAGAGTTCCGTTGGTAGTGAGACACAATTGCTCTGGGCAACACAATCTATTCCCGAGATAATGTTGAGCACCAAAGACACTCTACCTGGAGCCTTTCTTCTTGGCAGAACTGGCCTTTGGGCAAAGAAATGCCCATACCTCAACTACTGACAAAGTTACAGAGTATCCGTAAATGGATAAAACAGAACTGTCACATTCTGCCAAGACAGGGTAAGATAGTTTTGAAAAGTTTCTTGCCTTTGAAAATGGTATGTCAGTTACATTAGGCCTTACCTAAAGTTGGTAGCTTCAACATTGCAAATGAGACTTTGGGTGATTGCCCAGGTAGTCAGTTGTCTCTATCATTTGTTGCACATTTTGGAAGTTTCTCGATTGCACTTCCTGTTCACTCAAGTAATATTGCTTCCCTTCTCAGATCTTTGATGGAGTTGAAGATTAGATAATTGTAGCTACCTTCCTCATGATTTAGCCAAGCTTAACTTCAATGCAATATTTAGACTCCTTGAAATAGAACGCTTAAGAAAACTTTTATTATGTGTTCCTTGCTTAATATTGTTTGTTGCTTATAATTTTATATTTGGTATCTATTCCTATTGTATATAGTTGTATTGGGTTTGGATCAATCTTGTTTAGACAAAAGGGGGAGATGATGGGGAAACTATCAACCAATCACATCTAATTAGGGTGTGGCTACCTGGGGCCCAAGTAGAAATACTGGGAGATCCAGGTGCGCCCTTCTCTCTCTCTCTCTCTCTCTCTCTCTCTCTCTCTCTCTCTCTCTCTGCACTGTGCCCGCTGGACATATAGAACATCGGACCTCCCACTTTTGTAGCGTGAGTTTCTCCTTTTCAGCTATAAAATAACTGTTATTCTTGAGCTGGTCTGGTTATTTATCGTACCGACCTGATTCGCCAACACACAACAGCCAGCAACAGCCCAGTTTTCTGGCTGCCAGTATCTGAGAAGTCTCCAAGTTGACCTGGTCCCACCCCTTCTTGATTCACGTAGGGGAAACTGAGGCTCGAAGATAATAGGCATGGATTTAACAACACCTGAAAGAGCTCATCTGGGCCCCGCCTCGGCCTGCAGCCTTCCCCCAGCTCACCCGTATTGATGACCTTCTGGATGACGTTGGCCACTTGACCCTTGAGCAGAGAGTTGAGCATCTTCACTAGGAGAATGAGACAGCTGCACAGAACCACCAGAGAGCCAGCCAACAGGATGAGCCCCACGGCCAAGTCTGGCAGCCCCGTGTCAACGAAGAGATGGCTGCCTAAAAGGGTGACATCAGGCTGCTGAGTCCCGCTTCCCACCTCGGCCACCCCATTGGGCTGCGAGCCTGACACATCAAGTTCCTTTGTCCTCCATAGCAGCGACTGACCTAAGGCCAGAAGTCAGCTGTCTTTCCTGGGGCTGGACCCAGCAGGAGCCAGCCAGGGGATGGCTCCCTATGTGCCTGTCATGTGGGCCACCTCCCATGTTGAGGTACTTACATTTCCCCACGGTGGTGTTTGCAAAGGTGATGTTGGCCTCTATCCTGGACACAGAAGTGGAAGCCTAAATTCAGAGGAAGGTGACTTAGAGAATCTTGACAAGCACAGCCTGGGGTGGAGCTAAAAGGGAGGTTTGGGAACTATGGGGGAAGGGAGCTGTGTTTCTAGCTCTGAGATCATAAACATGCTGCTTGCCTGCTCTGAGCCCGTCTCCTCTGGAGAAAAGATGACGTTGAAATCCTTGTCACTCCAGAATAATGTGGCCTTGGATATATTCTACTCTATCACTCCCCTGACCTGGAGACCCCTGGGACCAGTGGGTTACCCAATTACCAGATTAGTAGCTTCTTTTCTTGGTCCCCCCACCTCTCAGCGGCATCCATACCCTTTTCTGAAAGCCCTTCTATCCCCATCTGTTCTTACCTGTTCCTTTCTTAACGCCTTTTCCCTCCATACCTGCCCCATGACCCCCCCCTAAAGCTCACTTAGCCCGAACTCCATTCTGCCCTGGCTCAGTTCTTTGCCCTTGGGGAGATCCAACTGGAAGGAAGGTCAGTGACAGCCGAGGGTCTAGCCCCCTCCCCATTCCTTCTTTCTGAATCTATAGTGTGAAAAGTGAGGGGGTCTTTCTGGTAATGTCCCCAGATAGAGGGGACAAAAGGTCGGGTAGGTGATATAAACCATGAGCCCAGCTACATGTGAAGGTGGTGGATGTACAGAGACAGTAGCTGTTTAGCCCCAGCCATTGTCACCAGGCAGGGGTGCATCCCAGAGTGCTCTAGCCGCCTAGTTCTACCAGAGAAACCACAATTTTGTGGTTTTAGGTAAAATTCTTCCATCTTTGTGCATGTTATAGCTCTACTCTGAGATTTTTTTTTTCAGTACTCTGGATTGAATTTAGACCCTCACAAATTTAGGCAAAAATCCCGCCACCGAGCTACATCCCAAATTCTCACTTAATTTTTTTCTCTCTCATTTCATTTTTTAAATTTTGAGATGGGGTCTCAAAGTCCAGGTAGGGCTTGGACTTGCCATCCTCCTGCCTCAGTCTCCCAAGTACTTGGAATTCACAGGCCTGTGTCACTAGGCCTAAAGAGACACATTTTCAGATTCTAGGAAGCGGAGTTCCCAGGCCAGTGGATGCTTCCTTTCAGTCTGTAGACTATCAATTCGTAGCTTCACTGAATTAAGGAGTTGCTGACAAGAGACCCCAGAAGCCTTGCTTTTCTGCAGTGACTGGGGACAGAGTGGGCGTGGCTTGGAAAAGCTAAGGGTGGGGCTTGGACGGAGGGAGCTGACAATGTGATGTTTTAGCTTCTTAAGGTTTGTTCCTAACCATGTGTCATTTAGAGAGTGTATGTCAGGTTGGGGCTCAGGCCAATGGTACAGCCCTTGTCTACATGAGCAGCATCCCAAACAAGCAAAACAAAAATCCTGAGAGTGGCCCTAGGGTCAGTTTCTGGCAGCTAGTTTAACATCAGGATGTCTGTTAGTGAGACGTGCTCCATTGAGCAGGGCCAGGTGCTCGACTGTTATTTCCAGTTCACTAAATCTGGGCCTTGGGGCACCATCAAGACTGGAGGCCTGAACACTAGGCGAGAAACTAGGATAAAAATCATCTGAGAGAATAAAAATCCAGATGGGCTCTTGGGAAACTGAGGCAGGGGGATTGCTATGAGTTTAAGGCCAGCCTGTACTACAGTGGGATCTTGTCTCAAGAATCAAACAAAACAACAAGAAACAAAAACTTGGGGGCTGGAGAGATGGCTCAGTGGTTAAGAGCACTGGCTGCTCTTCCACAGGTCCTGAGTTCAATTCCCAGTGCTCACAAGGTAGCTCACAGCTGTCTGTAACTCCAAGAGTTGACACCCTTACAGAGACATATATACAGGCAAAACACAACAAACATAAAAATATAGATATTTGAGAAAAAATTGGAAAAATAAAAATGTGAAGGCCAAAGGAAAAAACATGCATTAAGTCCTCACCTCAGGGCCTGGCTACTACAGCCCCTGATAAGGGACGCACTGCCTCTTCCTGCCTTCCTAGGCACCCCACATGGTAAGTGACTAACCTAGACCATGACCAGTGGCTCCTGCAGACATGCCTGTGGATACTGGCAGTTTGGGCGGGGGAGAACTGGGTGGACCTTCTGGGAGGTCCCCAGCCAGAGACTCTAGGAAGCAGATGCCCTCCTGAGATGCCTGTGTGCCTCACTAGCTTTCTCTGAGCTGCATCCTGGGGCCTCCTAGAGAGGGGATATGTGGGTCATATAGAGGCCAGAGGAGGCTGAGGAGCTTGGCATAGGTCCCACCTAGGGTTGACTGAGCCAAGTTCAGGACAAGGCTGAGGACCGAGCTATCTAGAGTGTTATTTGTAATTTTGTTGCTGGAGATTGAACCTTGAACCCAGACCTCACGCATGCTAACCACAAGCTTCCATCACTGAGCTGTGCTCCACCCTGGTATGGGGATCTAGAACCTTGACTTTTCTTCCTGGACTTGCGTGGCCTTAACTGTGCCCAGAAGGGGAGCCAGGGACCCTAGAGTGCAGGAGGGAAATGTGGAGACAGTGGGAGTGACAGAGAGGGGTCACTGCAAAGCCAGGCCAGGAAGGAACTGAGGGGAGAGAAAAGCCTCTAAGGAGATCTTTCAGGGCAGAGGAAAAGGTGGGAACTCCGGCCTTGTTAATAGAGCTCAGAGGCCCGGATCTGGGCATGTTCCCAAGATGTCTGTCCATACTCTCCGGGAGGAGTGGAGGAATAGACAGGGAGTGGGGTGGAAATGCTTACGGGAAAACAGAACCAATGACTGTCCCATAGACCTGGGCTCACGCTGTAGCTCAGCTGTTCTCAACTATGTGACTTGGAGCTGTACACTTAAGCCCTCTGGGCGTCAGCTGTCTCCATAACATAGATTCTAATGCTGTCTTCTTTTCCCTACAGGCTAGTAGGAAGCATCTTGGAAGAGGGAGTTGGTATTTAAAAGCCTACAGGGACACACTAGATTGAGACACTTCTGGGAACTGAAGGGCATGATTAAGTTCACAAAGGACCGTGCTACTTCGAGAGAGTCCTTCCTCAGGAGAGAACCACAGAGGATGTGGGATTGCACAATAGCTTCCCCTCTGGGTTATGGTAGCTGTGGGGCCTTTGTTCTTCTGGAAACGGGAGCACTCTGGGCCAGCGGCACCATCTGGTGGCCGAAAGGAGAACTTCTCAGAGCATCTCGAGTCCACCAGCCCTGAATCGGTCTGGTGGCACCACGGGCAGAAAGAGAAATAGAAACAGGTGGAGATACATTAGACCAGCATCTGGGAGATGCAGCTGAATGAGGAGTGAGGATCCCATCAGGATGGAGGCCTTCCTCCATTATAGGAACCGATAATACAGGAAGCTGGTGTTCCTCTCTCTGAGTGAGGCTGTTTCCTATCTGCAGAGTAGGGATGTAATAACAGTGGTCCCCAGTGGCCAGTCCTCCAAAGAGGCTACTTAACCCAGGCAGGGACAGTTTACAGTTCACAAACGTGACTCACGGGAAAGGGATTTCAGGCACAAGGCCAGGCCACTGGTCATCCTGAAGTCTCAAACTCCAAAATGGCCTATTTGTCCCTTTCCCCGTCAGGAAAACTCTCATCCTGTCCTGTCCTGGGTGGCATAGGTCCTGACCTGTCCTGTCTAGGTCCCCTGGAGACTGGTTTGATCAATATTCACTCCCCAGTATGGTGAAGGCTGGAGGCCATGAGAGTTGAAAAAAAGAAAAGAAAAGAAAAACTTTGAGGCCGGGGGTGGCGTGAGGGGTGGTATAGGAAGAGCCAACCAAGCACACGCTGAGAGCACATGATGTGGCTGTGCCAAGTCCCTTTCCTGCAGGGCACAGGTCCAGAGGGAGGCAGAGGGCAGGGTGCTCAGATCCAGCTTTATGTTCCAAGCCAAGAAATACGACCTGCTGTTGCAGAAAGAGGTTTCTGCTAGTGTGGGAACTGAACCGGTGCCCTGGCAAGCGGCAGCTGGACGCGCGAACCCTGGAAGACAGGACCTGCAGCCCAGGGAACTCGGCAGTTGCTTCCCGTCACCGAGCTTCAGTTTCCATTCGTGTAAAAACGGTCCACCTGGCTGGTCTCGCTCCAGGACATAGTAGGTGAGGCGGTTCAGGGCACAGGTAGAGTCTTGCCCAAGTCAGCCGTCAGACCGGAAACCTCTAGGTGGCATTTTGCTTTTTTTTTTTTTTTTTAATCAGCATGTGATTTCTCGTCTTCTACCCAGAGTGTGCTTTCTGAGGCTGCAGTGACTCACAGAGCTTTCCTGAGAGTCCAGAGAGCTCATGAGAAGGTGGCTGACGCATTAGGCAGGTCACAAAGCCAGCATCAAAGCGGTCCACGTGGGCTTTCTGCTGTCAAGCTGCCTTGAACTCTCAGAAGAGCAGAGCTGGTGCCCCGTGCCACTTGGGATGCAAAGGGACATCGCAGGGTGAGGTGATGGAGTGTTTTCTATCAGTGCTGGCAGAGAGGTCCGGGAACATCCACCGGCAAGAGGAGGGAAGGTGGAGGATGGGCTCGTGCCTCTGCTGTACGCTTTGGATTTCCCTGTGGCCTTTCTAAATGGAGTTATTTCTTGTACGTAATAATTAAGGAGAAGCAAATTTGGAAGATTATGGTTTGGATGAAGCATTTTCCCTTTTATGGCTGAGTAAGAAAGTATGCTAATTGCCCGCTCCTTTGTTCCTAATCGCCTTGCTATTATGCCTTGTACCATAGGCATAATGGCTGATCCATGAATGTCCAACCAATCGGAGCGGTTTTTCATTCTGGGCAGTAGAAGGAGCAGAAGCAGTGCAGGAGGACAAAGGATGAAAGAGTCTCCTGCCAGCATGTGTGATTGCTGTGTCTCTCAGGGGCTGCCCAGTGTGACACCCGCCAGTGTGACAGCCACTGCCTTGCTCCTCAACCCGAACGAATCCTAGGGTCCAAGATTCTCACTATTCACATAGCTCTCTTCTCCCCCATTCCAGTCTCCGTCGCTCAGACCTCAGCCCCAAGCACTGAGAGACCAGCCTCCAGTGTCCCTGTGACCTGGTAGTTCTGGGCAAGCTGCTTAACCTCTTGGAGCCTGTGTCTCTATCTGTGAAACCAGAGTTGAGTTTGATCCTCAGTTTTTCAAACGAGCATGGAAAAAAGTTAGATGGCAAGTGGGCCATTCCCAGAAATTTCTTTCTGATTTAGTAGGCCTAGGAAGGGTGTATATATCTATGCCGTGGATTTTCTTCTACACTGTGTCTGCTCTGCATCTCTAATAGGCTCCCAGGTAGGACTGGGTGCTGTCAATCCGGGGAACAATAGCTCTTTGAAAACCACTGGTCCAAGGTGGGGCTAGTGGTGGCGCAGGCCTTTAATCCCAGTACTCAGGAGGCAGAGGCAGGTGGATCTCTGTGAGTTGGAAGCCAGCCTGGGCAACACCGTGAAATCCTGTCTCGAAAAAAACCAACAAAACAGAACAGAACAAAAAGAAAGAAAGAAAAGAAGGAAGGAAGAAAGGAAGAAAGGAAGGAAAGAAAGAGAAAGAGAAAGAGAGAGAGAGAGAGAGAGAGAGAGAGAGAGAGAGAACAAACACCACCCTTTACGATTACATGCCAATGCTAATGTACAGATATTTGCCTACTGCAGTTTGTGCATTTAGGAGGGGTTACCAATGTCTGCCATGGGTATAATGGCACAGAAAACTTCTATGTTATCTGCTCACCCCAAACAAAATGATTTCCAAGGTCTATGGAAGCAGCAGGCAGGTGGTCTAAAGGGAGCATCTTCTTCCCTAGGCTTGGCTCTGGAACTCACCTCTTGTGGGTCTGGGTGGCACCAAATCCGGATGAGACTGTGATTCCTCAGGGACTCATCCCCCATGGCAATGCTGGTGATGACAGTCTTGTCCAGCTGTGAGGAGATGACACAGAGAGCTGAAGGTAGGACCACTTACTATCCCGCATCTGTCCACCCCACGCCAGGTCCTGCCCTCACCTGGATAATGAGCTTTGTGAAGGGTTCTGTGATGACCTTCAGAAGGTCAGGGGCATCTCGGCCACCACGGATGTTGAAGGAGGCAACCACGAGCCCAGTGACATGGTGCAGGTAGCCCGTGGCAGCCTCCAGTGGCAGCAGGACCAGAACAGACAGCCAGTTAAAGCAGTCATGCACTGTGGCCCCTGCAAAAGCCCTGAGCAGGGACACCACATTGCAGGACAGCTGGACTCAAGGTGTGCCCAAGCTGGGTCCTGGCACCCAGTTCCGCCTTCTCCCCAACAAGCATGAGCCCCCACCCTCCTTCCCCAGCTCACCGCCGGAAGTCAGTCCTGTCCCCTGCCTGCATTAGGGCCACGATGGTGTTGGTGACCGAGGTTCCAATGTTGGAGCCCATGATGATCGGAATGGCAGAGCTCACCTCCAACACTGGTAGAAGAGGGACCTCTCAAATGATTGGGCTGTGGCCGTGAGGCTCTGCCCGACAGTAACTCCACCAGGCCCACGACTCGTGCGCTAGCCCCAGACAGCCTTTTCCAAGTATACTCTTGACTTCCTAGACTCAGTCTCACAGGTCCGTGTGTGCATGAGCTGGTTATTTACACGTGTGTGCACATATCCACATATGACTAGACACCATACAGGGTGCATTATGAGAGCTCACACCTTGTGCACTCCATATTTTGTGTTTGCGCAGGTGCACCTCGCACGAGTGTGGTAGCTGGTTATGTGTGTCAGCTGACTAACCTGTAGCATTCAACTGACTTTAAGTAAAGGAGATTATTCTCTCTCTCTCTCTCTCTCTCTCTCTCTCTCTCATGTGTGTGTGTGTGTGTGTGTGTGTGTGTGTGTGTGGTGGGGAGGCAAGTGTGTGTCTGCAAAGGTGGAGACCAGAAGAACTCAGGCATCCTGCTTTCCCACCCTCTGCTGTATTACCACACGAGAGCATCTCTTGTTGAACCAGGACCCTAGGTGGCAGCCAGAAGCCCCAGCAGTTCTGCCGCCTGCTCCCAGCACCTGCGTGTATGCAGTCGTGCCCAGCCTCTTATGTGAGCTCTGAATTCAAACCCAGACCTTCACACCTGTAGCGAGCACGCTTGCCCAGTGAGACTCCCTAGCCCCAGGTAAAGGACATCTCTCTTGATGAGCTGGGCAGGCCTCATCCAATGGGATAAAAGATCCTCAAGTGTAAAACTGAAGTTTCCTGAAGGAAGAAAGTTTACCTGGGGCCTACATGATGGGTTTCTGCCTACACATCCCAGCCTGCTCTTCCAAATGCTGACTTTGTAAATGTCAGACTTGAGCAGCCAGCCACACAATGGTAAAAGTCAATTCTTTGCAATAAATCACATGTGTGTGATTATTTAGTTAGTTTTTTTTCTGGGACGGGGTTTCTCTATGTAGCCCTGGCTGTCCTTGAACTTGCACTGTAGACCAGGCTAGCTTTGAACTCACAGAAATCCATCTGTCTCTGTCTCTGCCTCTTGTGATCGTTTTTTACCGACTGGTTTTCTCTAGCTTTCCTGAGTGACTATGTGACTGAACGGAGGTGGGTTCAGGAGCTATGTTCTCCCTTTCCACTCTCCACAATTCCTGGAACACCCTGGCTCAACTCTTAGCTGCTTTCAAGGACAATACAGGAGGTGCTGGGGTCACACCCGTCCCCCTTGCCTTTCCCTCAATCTCCTATCCACACTCCTGCCCTCGTGCTGAATCTCCAGGCCCCTGGGCTCTATCCCTGACCATGCTGGGTCAACTCACAGCCAGAGGAGACCATGCTGACAATGATGGATGTCGAGGTGCTGGAGCTCTGCACCAGGACTGTCACCAGAATCCCCACCACCAGCCCTGCCACTGGGTTGGACAGGATGGCATTGTCCTTGAAGATATCACCAGCCACCTTCCCTGCAGAACACAAGCGAGCATCATCCTAGGTCCTTCTGAACCCCTCCCCTGACCTCCTCCACCGGGCCAGCAGTACCTCCAGCTAGTTGGAAGGCGGAGCTGAGCACGTCCAGGGAGCAAACAAAGAGGTACAGGAAGCCCAGCATCAGCGGGACCTTGAGGAGCTTTGTGCCAGCCTGGAGCAACTTCTGGGGCAGCCTGGGCTCTGGAGGTGGGGCAGGCATGAGTATAGTGGGCAGTGTGTGAGGCCGGTGACTACCCATGACCCTGCTGCCCCCCATACCTGGCCCACCTGGCTTTTGCTCCTCTTCCTGGGCCAGCTTGGCAGGTAGGGGGTCATGGCATTCCAGGACCTCCCCATAGGGACAACTGTGCTCTGTGAGGGTCACGGGGCTTAGACTGGAGAATGCATAGGTGGATGTCCCTGGAATCCTGTGCAGGACTGAGTAGGGAGGCTGATTAGGAGGTTCCCAAAGGTCCCAGGAGCCCAGGAGAGACATGTTGACAGAGGGCAAACAGGACTCAGGGTGTGGGAACAGTACTTACCTTGTGGGCTGGGCACATAAGCAAAGGCTGTCCCATGCACCACTGGTCTCCCACGAACTGGAAGTGGGGAGACAGCGGGTCCCCCGACTCTGTCCCCATAGGACATCATGCTGGGTACCCACGGTGAGTCCTATGTGTCAAGAGGTTAGAACAAAGCTGACAATTGCTGTGTGGTGCCCACACTCGCATGACATCCAGCTGAAAGTGTGTGAGCCTATCCATCCTTAGACACACCTAGAGATGCACACCCAGGTGCTGTCGCAGATCTGAGTGGGCATTCATCCATCCAGCAAGGTTCTTGTAGCGGTTTTGTTTTGCAGTGCTGGAAATGGAACCTCGGGCCTTAGTGTAGTAGGCAAGCACTCCAGTGCTGAGCCGCAGCCCCGGTCCCAACAAGCATGTCTTGAATGTGTGGTATTTCCTAAATTCTGAGTTAGATGCTGGGCTACAGTGGTAACTGGAAAAAAAAAAAGCCACAGCCTCTCGGGATGTTCAAAGTCTAGCAAGGAGACAGCTACAGATGATGTAATCTCTCAGTGACTAGAAATGGCTGCCAAGTGTTAGGACAAATGCAGGTACCACTATGACTAGATTGTCCCATGACAGGGCAGGGTCTAGCTCCGGGGTGGGGGTAGAGTGGGCCAAAGCAGCCTGGGCTAGGATTGGGATGTCATAGGGAGCAGGAGGAGAAACAAACAGAGCTGGGGTGTCTAAGGACTGGGGCCGTGGGCTCACCTTGAGGTTCTAAGTCTCAGCTCCTGGTCGGCTGCTTGGGGAAATCTAAAGAAGAACCAAGACCCTTCTCTTTATATCCTCGGGTCAAGGGCAAAGTCCCTAGAACTTTAGCTGCCCTCCCTCTGTTCCCCCACTAAATTAACTTTACCCCCAAGATTCCTTCCAGTTAATTGCTAATCTTCTGCTCTGCAGGGGGAGTCTATGGTCAGGCTGCCCTCTCTCATTACACCAGCCTGAACCACAACCCAGCTAGGGCACAGACACATCCCTACGCTGGGCAGAGACCCTGTTGGCACTCTGGCAGCTTGTTCTTAGGGACTTGAAAGTGATTCTGTGGCTCCAGCCCCTTTCCTTCCTGACAAGACTCCCCAAACTGATCTGAATATATGGTAACCTTGCCATACATCTAAATGTCTGTGCAGCTCTCTGTGTGTCTTGAGGGGTATGGTTCAAAAGAGTGGGTGCCTCAGGAGGGAAGCCCAGTGAGGCTGCATATGTGAACCATGGAGGTTCTACAGGGCTTGATGGCGAATTCAGGGTGTGAGATTGAGAGAATCACTGACCAAACCAAGAAGTGATCACTCTGTGACTTGGACTACACCTTAAAATGCTGGTGTGAGATGTATCAAAGAGCATCTGCAGCAGAGAGACTGGCTAAGATGCTGAAGAGAGGTCCAGGGAAGAGATGATGGGGCTGAATCAAGGTGGGACCATGAAGACAGAGGACAGGATACATCCCAGAGGCTCTGGGAAGGAGAAGAGGGAAAGTTGTGACCAGGATGTTCATGATGCATGGCAAGTGATGTGGGGACTGCTGGATGGCTTTCTTTCCCTCCCCAGGAGCACATTCCAGTCCCAATTCTCTCTTTCTCTCTCTCTTTCTCTCTCTCTCTCTCTTTTATTTTCTTTTTTCCTTCCTTCCTTCCTTCCTTCCTTCCTTCCTTCCTTCCTTCCTTTCTTTTCTTTTTCTATCTTTCTTTTTTGGTTTTGGTTTTGGTTTTTTGAGACAGGGTTTTTCTATGAAATGGTTCTGACTGTCCTGGAACTCTCTTTGTAGTCCAGGCTGGCCTCAAACTCACAGAGATCCACCTGCCTCTGCCTTCCAAGTGCTGGGATTAAAGGCGTGCACCACCACTGCCCAGCTCCAACAAGCATTTCTTGAGTATGCAGTATTTCATAAACTCTGAGTAAATGCTATGGTACAGAAGTCAGTAAAAACGAGCACCATCACTGCCCCCGGGTCCGCAGATGACGTAATCCCTCAGTGAAGAGAATGACCAGCAGGTGTTAGACAAATACAGGAACTGCGAGAGCAGTGTCCCAACCTTCCCGATGCTGCGATGTGCTGACCCCAACCATAAAATTATGTCTCTGCTACTTCATAACTAACTTTACTACTGCTATGAGCCATGATGTAAATATCTGATATGCAGACTCTGTGATATGATATCCCTGTAAAGGTTCCTCTAACTCCAAAGGGGTCATGACCCATAGGTTGAGAACCACAGCACTAGTTCTCTGGTTGGTGGTCCTGGGTTCTATGAGAAAGCAGCCTGAGCAAGCCATGTGAGCAGCCAGTAAGCAGCACCCTTCCATGGCCTCTGCATCAGCTCCTTCCTCCAGATTCCTGCCCTGTTTGAGTTCCAGTCCTGACTTCCTTCAGCAATGGACTGTAGTGTGGAAGTGTAAGCCAGACAAACCCTTTCCTCTCCAAATGCTGTGGTCATGGTGTTTTGTGACCACAGCATTAGTCACCCTGATAAGAGACAAGACTCCAATCCACAGGCAACAAAACCAATTCTACCTCTTAACCAAGTTAGAATATTTTTTGTCTAAAAAGGCCACATCTTATAAATCTAGCCTCAGGTCATAAGTCTTTTCTTGTGTATTTAAGTTAACACAGTTTTGTTTTGTTTTGTTGTGGGTTGTTTTTTTTTTTTTTAGTTTGTTTGCCTTTTTGTTTTTATTTTGGTTTTGGTTTTTTTTGAACTAAGGCTTCTCTGTGTAGTCCTGGCTGTCACAGAGGCAGGCGAATCTCTGTGAGTTCAAAACCAGCCTGGTTTATAAAACAGGTTCCAGGACAGCACAGCTACACAGAGAAACCCTGCCACAAATTAAAGGAAAGCACCCAAGCTGAGTACTTTGGATGTAGCAACTCTGCCTGGAGTCTGATTCAGGCAGGAGGGAGACAGAGAGAGCTAACTGATCAAGGCCTGCCCCTGCTCTCAGGGGATGTTCAGGCACCTATGCTTGCTCCAGACAAGCTCAAGAGCATCCCTAATGTGGCTGAGCCCAAGCAGTAAGAGGTTCTGAGCCACACATTTGACTCATTGAAACACTCCTACCTAAGCATGAACCCAGCCCCCCTAAATCCCTCCTCCCACGCTGAAGAGGTTCTGAGACACCAAAGTCTCACTAAGTAAATCAGGGTTCATGACAGAATGTGATGTCACCAATGACTCAGCACAGTGGCCCATACCTGTAGCCCTGACTACTTGAAACCTAAGAAAGGAAGATGACTCGAACTCTGAAGCTTGGGGCTAGCCTGAGCTACAGTGAGACCTAATCTCAAAAAACAAACAACAAAACCAAAAAAAAGCAACTGTTGGGTGGTGGTGGCGCACACTTTAGATCCCAGCACTCAAGAGGCAGAGGCAGGCAGACCTCTTTGAGTTCGAGGTCAGCCTGGTCTACAGAGCGAGTTCCAGGACAGCTGGAGCTACACAGAGAGACCCTATATTGGGGAAAAAAAAGCAAAACCAAAAACCAAAAATAAACAAATAAATAAAATCTCTTTTCCTTCCTGGGGGATGATTGATGATTAGAATAAACAGTCAATTATTGACAAATGCATCCTAAAAGATACGATTTTAAAATCCCGTGAATTTCATAGCCAACCAGTTAAAAGTATTTTGTCTTCTCTTGGCCCCTCTTTTTATCTCACGCACCTGCTAGTCTGTCTGCCTCCTCCCGAATTGGTGGCTGTGTCTGCATGTCCCCACATGGTTCTTCACACCCTGTTTGTGTCCTCAGGCTCTGGCGACATTGTCCCTGAGACCTTCCTAAGGTTAGCCCCTGGGTAGTCAGATGTATCTTATGTTGGGGAGAGCATCCAGGAGGGAAAGCCATTTGTGGGGGAGAGGTTCAGAGGAGCCTGCAGTCTGCCAGATGGGTCTCTGACAGGATCACATGACTGTGCCAGTCACGTACACTGAGCTCTCCGCACGCTCCTTCGTGTTCAGTCTTTGCAGACAGTACCCAGAGTCTGGATCCCAGCCAGACACCACGAAGGAGTCATTGACTCTTGTTTCTCCTCCGTCTCCTTGCCTTCATCTTTTCCTTCAACGCTCCTCCTCAGCCACCCTCCCCACTTTCTGTAATTTCCAGGAGCTGTCTGTCCAATATCTCTGTGGGTACATCCCAGGCCAGGCCGCTGTTGTCTTCTGCAGAGGGTGTCAAGGCCTCATGAGTACGATGTCTGCGCGATGTCTGCACGTGTCCTCATTGTTCCTGGTCCATTCTCTAAAGAAAGCAGCCAGAGATAATTAGTACATTTTTATTTCAGTGTGTGTATTTCCACGTGTCACGGCACATGTGTGGAGGTCGGAGGACAGCTTGAGGGAGTCTGTTCTCTCTACCGTGTGGATCCTGGAGAGTGAACTTGGGTCCTCAAGGTTGGTAGTGGATGCATTGACCTGCTGAGCCATCTAAGGGGTTCACAGCAAGTGATCTTCTGAAAACCCAATCCAAAGTGTGGCCTGGTGGACATGGTGGCTCACACCTGTGAAGACTAGGCCAGACAGATACAAGGAGAGATAGGCAACGTGCTAATTGTGTGTGAGTCACTCCCTTTAAAATCCCGCCTCTGCTTTCTGTTTAGCCCATTGACTGACACCCTATCACAGCTGGAGAGGGCCAGTACAGCAGGGCTTTATTCCCCCACCTTGCTGGTCTCAGTCTTACTAGGGAAGTGCCCTCGAGAAAGTGTGTGTAACAAAGAGAACAGGTGCCCACATTTGAGGAGAGCAGAGAGACCAGACAGGGAGATTAGGAGGGTACCAGATAGGGAGGAGGAAAAGAGTAACTGCCCCAGATGATACAAGAGAGACGCGTCGATCAGCTGACCCAAATTCTGCTGAATGTAACGCAAGAACAAACCAGATTTAGCCACCAGGAGCCACGCTGGTCTTGGAGAGCCAGGTTGAGGGAGGAGTCGGTCGTCCTGAGTGGGTACATGGCTCCAGCACGGCCAGGGTCAGTGTGCGAGACTAACATATATTGAATTTCAGCACACCGACAAGACGACTCCCCTGGTGCAGCGTGACAGCTGAGTGGGGGAAAAGCCTCCCGAAATAGAACAGGCTGTGGAAGCTGAAGCTGCTGGACGATTCCTCGCTTCTTTCGTATTTAATTATTATTTATTTATATGGGTCTTTTGCCGGCACGGATCAGTGCACCACATGCCCGCGGTACTCAAGGATACCAGGAGAGGGCGTTGGGTCCCTTGGAACTGGAGTTACAAGCAGTTGTGAGCTGCCATGTGGGTGCTGAGAATTGAAACTTCCTCCAGAAGGACAGCTGTCTTCTTTTATTTGTTTCTTTTCTTGTTTTATTTTGTTTTTGGAGACAGGGTTTCTCTATGTAGCCCTGGCTGTCCTGGAACTAGCTCTTGTAGCCCAGGCTACCCTCGAACTCACAGACATCCACCTCCCTCCACCTCCTGAGTGCTGGGATTAAAGGCATGTGCCACCACCGTCCTGTAAACCTATGCGATTAATTGCTATGCTGTCTCTCCAGTCCTGATTCCTTAGTTCTTAAGATCAATTTGCTTTTTTGTTTGTTTGGTTTGGTTTGGTTTTGAGACAAGGTCTCCCTATGAAGCCAGCTGTCCTGAAATTTGCTGTGTAGATCAGGCTGGTCTTGAATTTATGGAATTCCCATTTGCTATGTAGGACACCTGTGTGCATCTACCTTTGCCTTGAGTGCTGGGATGAAGGCCACCACACCTGGCCGACTTGCTGTTTAAATACATGGTTTGCTATAAGTGAAGTTTTCAGTAGAGCCTAAAGTCTAAGAATAGTCAAAGGAAGAAAACCCAGAATTCAGGATCCATTTTGTTG